ACTGAGGTCTAAACAACTCAGTAAACTGCGCCAGCGTGCTTTTAAACGCCCAAATGCACATTCTACCACCATTCTGCACTTGCTCAGCCTGTAGTTGAACAGCTCCTGACTACTGTCCAGGCTGCCTGTGTATGGTTTCATGAGTCTTGGCATTAAAGGGTAGGCTGGGTCCCCAAGGATAACTATAGGCATTTCAACATCCCCAACGGTTATTTTCTGGTCTGGAAAGTAAGTCCCTTGCTGCAGCTGTTGAAACAGACCAGAGTTCCTGAAGATGCGAGCGTCATGTACCTTTCCCAACCATCCCACATTGATGTTGGTGAAATGTCCCTTGTGATCCACCAGTGCTTGCAGCACCATTGAAAAGTACCCCTTTCAGTTTATGTACTCGCTGCCTTGGTGCTCCGGTGCCAAGACAGGGATATGGGTTCCATCTATCGCCCCACCACAGTTAGGGAATCCCATTGCAGCAAAGCCATCCACTATGACCTGCACATTTCCCAGAGTCACTACCCTTGATATCAGCAGCTCAGTGATTGTGTTGGCTACTTGTATCACAGCAGCCCCCACAGTAGATTTGCCCACTCCAAATTGATTTCCGACTGACCAGTAGCTGTCTGACGTTGCAAGCTTCCACAGGACTATCGCCACTCGCTTCTCAACTGTGAGGGCTGCTCTCATCTTGATATTCTTGTGCTTCAGGGCAGGGGAAAGCAAGTTCCATGAAAGTGCCCTTACGCATGAGAAAGTTTTGCAGCCACTGGGATTCGTCCAAGACCTGCAACACTATGCTGTCCCACCAGTCTGTGCTTGTTTCCCAGGCCCAGAATCGGAGCGCCATGCCATGAACCTGCCAAACTGACACCATGATGTGCACATGGCAGGGGCCCGTATTTTGTGAGAAGGCTATGTCCATGTCCTCATCACTCTTCTCACCACGCTGTAGTCGCCTCCTCCTCACCTGGTTTCACTTTTCTTGCAGGTTATGGTTCTGCATATCCTGCTGGATAATGCGCACGGTGTTTATAGTGCTCATAATTGCTGTGGTGATCTGAGCAGGCTCCATGTTCCCAGTGCTATGGCGTCTGCACTGAAAAAAGGCGTGAAACGATTGTCTGCCGTTGCTCTGACGGAGGGAGGGGCGACTGACAACATGGCTTGCAGGGAATTAAAATCAACAAAGGGGGTGGCTTTGCATCAAGGAGAAACAGAATGCCTGCCTCAAGGATAGAGCTCAAAACCCTGGGTTTAGCAGGCCGTTGATTTCATGGAGGGAGGGAGGGGGAGAAAATGAATACAAAACAAGTCTGGTCTATTTCTTGTTTTTGATCCACTTCATCTCTCTTTATACATCTTAGGCTGGCAGAAGACGGTGCAGTACAACTGCCGGCAGGACTGAATCGCCATGAGACGAAACTTAAAAGGGAAATGACCTGGCTGAGTCACTCCCATGTCTGCCCAGGCGCTCCTGACCGACCTCACTGAGGTCGGCCAAAAGAGCACCCTGGAGCACGGTGACGATGGCTACCAGTCATACTGCACTGTCTGCTGCCAAAAGGCAATGAGCTGCTGCTGTGTAGCAATGCAGTACCACACCTGCCAGCACCTAGGAGACATACGGTGACGGTGAACTGAGCAGGCTCCATGCTTGCCGTGGTATGGCGTCTGCACGGGTAACCGGGAAAGAAGGCGCGAAACCATTGTCTGCCATTGCTTTCACGGAGGGAGGGAGGGAAGGGGGGGCCTGACAATATGTTCCCAGAACCACCCGCGACAATGTTTTTGCCCCATCAGGCATTGGGATTTCTACCCAGAATTCAAATGGGCGGCAGAGACTGTGGGATAGCTACCCACAGTGCAACGCTCTGGTAGTCGACGGTTGCCTCAGTACTGTGGACACACTCCACCAACTAAATGCACTTAGAGTATTTGTGTGGGGGGACACATAATTGACTGTATAAAAACGCTTTCTATAAAACTGACTTCTATAAATTTGACCTAATTTCGTAGTGTAGACATACCCAAAGCTAATGTTGTTGAGGAGATGGTGTTCCTACACCAACAGGGTAGGAACTCCTGTTGGTGTTGGCTGCGTCTACACTAGGGGGCGATGCCAGCATAGCTATGTACACAATCTCCGAAGTTTAGACATACACGAGAGAAGAATCATGGGGAAAACCCTGATCACCACACTCAGGGTAAGAGGGGTTCATACTTTGTACCAGCTGCCATGGTAACAAGTTAAATTTTGCCCCCAAAGCCTTTAAATACTGGGGGATCCATCCTGCTCAGGCATCTTCTGCCTGCCATCTCTGGCTTACTGGCAGCAGAGTTCAAATCAATCCATGTTGCCTGGGACTACCAACTGCTGATGTCCCTAGAATCCCCTAAAGGGGAAGTTCTACATTTCTAAGTTAAGCCATCTAAGTTAAGCCATCCTCAGATTGAATGAACTGTAAGGAACCTATTGAGGTCAATGGAATCTGAACACAGCAAGAATTTTTCTTCGTGTAAGCATTGGGATCCGGGTAGGTAACAAAACCTTCCTTCTCTATGTCTAGTAAAATTACGTTTTCGCTATTTGCTCTGTAAACACTTGACAATTACTCAAATCATAACAGTTCTCATGAAGAAATCAGTTTTAATTTCTGAATACAGTGCTTTTACTTCAAGTTTGATGTAGTTACAATAAATCAGTGGTAACTGTACTTCAGAAAATAATTGTAATCCCACCAGTATTTTATGAAGTAGGTACAGGCATTTGAATACTAAAAAATAAATCAAAGAATCAGAATCATAGAATATCAGGGTTGGAAGGGACCCCTGAAGGTCATCTAGTCCAACCCCCTGCTCGAAGCAGGACCAAATCCCAGTTAAATCATCCCAGCCAGGGCTTTGTCAAGCCTGACCTTAAAAACCTCTAAGGAAGGAGATTCTACCACCTCCCTAGGTAACGCATTCCAGTGTTTCACCACCCTCTTAGTGAAAAAGTTTTTCCTAATATCCAATCTAAACCTCCCCCACTGCAACTTGAGACCATTACTCCTCGTTCTGTCATCTGCTACCATTGAGAACAGTCTAGAGCCATCCTCTTTGGAACCCCCTTTCAGGTAGTTGAAAGCAGCTATCAAATCCCCCCCTCATTCTTCTCTTCTGCAGGCTAAACAATCCCAGCTCCCTCAGCCTCTCCTCATAAGTCATGTGTTCTAGACCACTAATCATTTTTGTTGCTCTTCGCTGGACTCTCTCCAATTTATCCACATCCTTCTTGTAGTGTGGGGCCCAAAACTGGACACAGTACTCCAGATGAGGCCTCACCAATGTCGAATAGAGGGGGACGACCATGTCCCTCGATCTGCTCGCTATGCCCCTACTTATACATCCCAAAATGCCATTGGCCTTCTTGGCAACAAGGGCACACTGCTGACTCATATCCAGCTTCTCGTCCACTGTCACCCCTAGGTCCTTTCCCGCAGAACTGCTGCCTAGCCATTCGGTCCCTAGTCTGTAGCGGTGCATTGGATTCTTCCATCCTAAGTGCAGGACCCTGCACTTATCCTTATTGAACCTCATCAGATTTCTTTTGGCCCAATCCTCCAATTTGTCTAGGTCCTTCTGTATCCTATCCCTCCCCTCCAGCGTATCTACCACTCCTCCCAGTTTAGTATCATAAATAAATAAATAAAAATAAAGAACTACAGATAATTTAATTCACATTGGCTATTGCAAAGTATTATGGTGATTGTCAAAGGGATAACTTTATTTAATACGGCTCCCACAAAGTCAGCTCGGTAGTCTAAAGGAAACTTTACTATTTTGGGGTGGGGGAGTTAAGCAACAACCTGAACTAGCTTGGATGCAGAGTGTAAAATATGTTTTGTGTAGTGAAGGCCATTTCTTGTATTTATAGAACCTCTGGATTAAGACCAAATGTTATCTGCCTAGGTGAATTAAAACGTTCAATGGACTAAAACAGGTATCCCGTTCAATGCTAAAGCGTAGGTGAGCAAAGCATATCAGGTTAACATTTTTCCTCCACGACCAATTTACTGAATATGTACACGAAAGTCTCATTTATTATTTTAGGTTTGATTTTAATGATTTCACACTGCATGCAGATTTGACAGTCATTGTTACAGTACATGCGCTATCTCGAAAAGGCAAACCACTTTTGTACAAATTGTTACTCAGTGGGTGAAATTTACCCTGTTACATAGGGCTCATGCAGGTACTTCCACACCACTAAATACCACCGCAAAAAGGGGAAGAGAAGTATGAGCAGAGAAACTATTGGGGCCTGCCTTTTCATACCTCAGATATTACAGAGTGAGGGTCTGGCCTAGATCTAATTAAGAGAGCACAGAGAAGACTGGGAGCAGGCCAATTTCACCCCACAGATTTCACTATTTCACCCCACAGATTGTAACAGTAGGCCAGGACAGACTACATTATGTATCTAGAGTCATCAGTGGGTTTGCACTGAGTTCCAGTATTTGAGAACTAAAACTTTGTTTTGTAGTAAGACTTTCAAAGATTAGAAGGTGAGGTTTATCTTGATCCTAGTTAAGAAGAGCTGCAGTGTGACTTCATGAAAATAACTTTTGGATTTTACCTAGTATGAGTGAGGTTCTTCAGAGTTAAATTTATTTATATCAGTGAAACTTGTTATTTTTTATCCTCCTGCCCTATCCCCAACTCTCTACCTTTTATCAGCCACAATTATTACACCAACTTTGCATTTCTGAAGGCAAAGTAATCTGTAAGAGTCTGCAGTACCATTTCTCTGATATGTCTGCTCCAGGGTTTTAAATGGCAACATATTTTGTATCCTTCCCTAAAGGGATCAAGTGTCCATTCCCTTCCCAATGCTGACAAACAAAAGACCATAAGATAGAGTATTCAAATCATGTTATCCTACTGTACACTAATTACAATTTATGTATATGATCATATAAGACACCACTTTTTTAAGCAAAGGCTTCCAAAACTATTTTTCCTACCTTGGATACTTCTTTTAAAGAATGCTTTACATCCTTCACAAGACCAAACACCATAGTGATATCCTGAAGCATAATCACTGCAGACTGCACAGAAGCGTGCATCTCTTTTTGAACCAGGACTTGTACAATCACTGCCATTAGATTTTCTTTTTAATGTCTCTCTGAAGGAAAAGTAAACAGTTATAAAAGAGTAAAAAGTTAGGATATATTTCAAATTCTCATTTTTCATTGTATTCACTTTAGCCTTTTTAAAGGCTCATTATTACCAAGCATGTTGCAATCTGAAACACTCTGTGTTAAGTGTTTGTCTCACAGAGTAATTAAAACAAATACTGTAACTCTAATGTTGTTCATACAGATTGTCTGGAAAGATTTGGAGCACCCGGGCAAATAGATTGTACTGCTGAGGTGATAATTATACAAACTCACAGAAATTAGTGAATGGTAAGTGAGCAGCAAATAATTGGATGTTGTATTTAGGAAACTTGCCATGGGAAATGGAGCTCTCAGATACCACTATGACTGATGCAGTATAAAAACTAAATAGAAGAGCAAATAGACTTTAGTCTGCTACATACTGGTAGTCACTGGCAATGGACAATTCTAACTAGAGCAATTTCCTGGTAAATTTCTATTTTTAGTCTATCTTAAGTTTGGGAAACATCCCCTCCTTCATTATTCCAAAAATGTGTCTCATAAGCAGCATAAGAGTGTCCTGAGGTTCAACACAAGAATCCATTTCTGGATTGTCTGTGAGTACTAATATCAAGAGAAGGTTTTAATCACAGTTATTTGTAGGGTGTGGGGGGGGGGGAAGGTTTGGGTAGTGTTTTAATTGCTGGTGAGAAAGTGGTTGTGGTTTCAGTCAAGCAGATAAATCATCTTAGTGACAACAGAATGCAGGCTGTGCTACACACCTTGCCTCAGATGTATTCATTCCCTAATGAGGAGCTTCATTCATTCATTCCAGCTGGCTGAATCTCAAATAACTGATAGAACTGAATTTGAAATCTCAAGAGCCAGCTCAGTAGATTGGGGAAAGTGAGACTTATCAATAAGTCCTTTACTGAGGTTGGCAAGAGTCTTGGACCAAAGGATGCCTGGATACAAGTAGGAACGGGAAAGAGAGAGGGGCAAGGTCACTAAGAGCAAAACGTTTCTTGTTTCTGAGGTATAACAACCAGTTCCAAACACAATACTTACCTATCTGATGAAGGATGGAGCAAGGTAAATGGGAATTGGGATAAGAATAGGGAATAAGTTGCTTCGTGTCACTAGATGCTATAAGGAAACAATAAGATATTAGAGGGATTTAGAAAGAGGTAGTGGTACTAGGGAATTATTTCATAAGGTACACCCAGAGAACAAGGTGTATTGTAAGCAAACTGAGAAAAAACACGGCAGCTTGCCTTTTGGATGACTGTAGCAGATCTTAAGTCCTTGGCAAATAGAATTTGTAGCTAGAACTGGAGAGAATATAGTGTTCTGTGTGCATGAAAGCAACAATAGTATGCAAAAAAAACCCAGAAGCTACATAATCATTTATGTGCCTAGATATAAGCAAAGTAGCAGGGCCTTCAGAGTTACTCGCTGATTCTACTCTTGCTACATAGACAGAAGGAGATCAGTTATATCAATCAGTGTAGTCAGTAGGGTTTTAAGTTCTTAGGGAGCTAGCATATATTTCTGGGGCAGGAAAAACCTATTCACCAAAGACTCTACATGGAACTTTAGAAAAGCACTTAAAAATATACTCCAGGCATTCTGAAAGGATGAATAAGAACACTGAAAAGGTAGAAACATGCTTGAATGTAGTTAAAACTACATTGACTATCACTAAAACAGATTTATCCCAGTTTTAAAGAAAGGAAGAAGGGGCAAAAATAGTTAGCCTATTTTATTAGGGATTGCAAGTATTCATCAGAAAAGGCTTTTACACATGTGTGCGCGTGTGTAATATATCCTCACTTTATGCCATAATTCCTCTGTTCACAGTTCATTCTGGGATGCATTAACAGGAGTGTCGTACATAAAACATGGGAGATAATTCTCTCACTCTATACTTGGCACTGGTGCAACCTCAAGCTGGAATACTGCATCCAATTCTAGTGCCACACTTTAGGAAAGATGTGGGCAAATTGGAGAGAGAATCCAGAGAAGAGCAACAAAAATGATAAAAGGTATAGAAAACCTGTCTTATGAGGAAAGGTTAAAAAAGTAAGCATGTTTAGTCTTGGGAAAAAGAAGACTGGGGGCAGAGGGGAGAAACCTGATAATCTTCAAATACGTTAAGGGCCATTATAAAGAAGGTGGTGATCAATTGTTCTTCATGTCCAATGAAGTTAGGACAAGTAGTAATGGGCTTAATATGCAGCAAGAGAGATTTAGGTTAAATATTAGAAAAAAAAACTTTCTAACTCTGAGGGTAGTTCAGCTATGGAATAGGCTTCCAAAGGAGGTTGTGGAATCCCCATCATGTGAGGTTTTTAAAAACAGGTTGGACAAACACCTGTCAGGGGTGATCTAGGTTTACATAGTCGTGCCATAACACAGAGGGCTGGATTTGATGACTTCTCAAGGTCCCTGTCAACCCTACATTTCTATGAGTTTATGCATTTTCAACTCAAGGAAAGTCTTGTATCTCATATTTAAACAAATACCTTACTTCATTATGGGTTTTAAACATTACTTGGAACTTCTGCCTATGCTTAATGGAACAGGGGGCTGGTTCCTCAGAGTTCATACTCCCCACTCTTTGATATTTCATTTCAGTTATTATTCATAAGTTTTCAGCATCATAATCAATAAATGGCAATAAATTAATACCATGAACACTGTATTAAGACTTCACCACAGGATGAAGCAAAAAGGAGAAGCCGGACTGTGCACAAAAATGCTCTTATTCAAGTCTAGATATCTACAATATGGAAAATTGCTTCTGTTTTATCTTTATGGTCTAAAGTTATAATGAATCCCCATTCTTAGAACTGTGCTCCCCCTGTGAATGGGATCAAAATATGTTATAGCATAACATTTAAACAAAAAATATCAACTGTATCACTAGTAGGCAGTATGGCAGCTATCTACTGATGAAAAACAATGGTTACCCACTTCTTCAAATTTCAGCTACTTATGATACATAAGTATGAAAAAATAATCAGCCAACTACTAGAAAAGAAATATTGGGTATGTATGGACTCTATTATAACTGCTATGTTTAGCAAACAAGTATAAGATACCACCATTCATACAAAAATGAACTAAAATACAGGCTGAGATACTATGCCGTGCCTCCCAGAGGCACAGTGCAGAAGGCACTGCCCAGAGGAGGCAGGGCTGTCCCAGAGAACACGCCAGTGTCGTGTGTAACTTAATACCTGAAGTTACAATAGCCTCCAGATGGCTGCCTCTGGCTTGCAGCATAAGCCAGCATGGCCATAGTGGGTGGCATCCACTGCAGTCCTATTCTTGGCATGCCGTGCTATGACTTCCCAATACAGGGCTGTGCTGGAAGAATTCTCTCTTGGCCCTCTGCAGGCTCTGTGTGGCACTTCCACAAATACAAGGCCTGAGATGGGGGCCAGGGGAATAATGTAGGGCAGGGGTTGGCAACCTTTTAGAAGTGGTGTGCTGAGTCTTCATTTATTCACTTTAATTTAAGGTTTCGCGTGCCAATAATACATTTTAACGTTTTTTAGAAGGTCTCTCTCTATAAGTCTATATATTATATAACTAAACTATTGTCATATGTAAACAAGGTTTTCAAAAAGTTTAAGAAGCTTCACTTAAAATTAAATTAAAATGCTGATCTTACGCTGCCGGCCTGGGGTTCCGTTCACCTAGGCCGGCAGCAGGCTAAGCGGAGCCTGCGGTCGGGACCCTGGCTGGCAAGGGGCAGGCAGCCAGAACCCCAGACCGGCAGTGGGCTGAGCAGGGCCGGTGGCCCACTGCCGCTCAGCCCGCTGTCTATCTGGGGTTCCGTCCACCGGCTCCTGCCAGCCAGGGTCCCGGCTGCTGGCCCTGCTCAGCCCGTTGCCAGTCTGGAGTCCTGGCCCTGTCCACATAGAGTAGGTACCTACCTTCTCCCTGGTTCTAGCCATTCTCTTCCTCTCTCTGCACTGAGATGAGGGTGGGAGTGTGCTGAGAATAGGGCTGGGGGTGAAGGAGCAGGCTGGGGGTTGGGGTGCAGGGTATGGCCAGGAGCTAGAATGAGGGAGGGGGCTCAGGGTTGAGGCAGGAGGTTTGGGTGTGGAGCGCTTACTTGGGCAGCTCCCATTTGGTGCGAGGGGTGCAGGTAGGGATGGGGGGGGGTGTGCAGGAGCTCCCGTTTGGTGCTTGGAGTGGAGATGTGGGGGGTGCAAGAGTCAGGGCATGGGGTGTAGGGGGGTGCAGGGGTCAGGGTGTGCGTGAGGAAGGTGCAGGGGTCAGGGCAGAGGGCTGGGGTCATGGGGGTGCTCCCAGGCCCCTGCCCTGAAGCAGCTCACAGCAGGGGGCTGGAGGGGATATGCCCTGATTCCACCCCCTTCCCCAAGGTCCCTGGAGCAGCAAGCGCGCTGCGGCTCCGCTTTTCCCTCTCCCCCTCTGTAGCAAGGGCTGTCAGCTGATCGGCAGCAGGGAGGGAGAGAAGGAGGGGCAGTAACCCAGCACATTGGGGGAAGAGGCGGGGGAGGGGGAAGCTTGCCTGCCCTGCAAGGAGAGGGCGGTGGGCAGAAAAGAGCGGGCCGGTCAGGATTTTTAGTGGCACGCTGCTGTCTACCTGGGTCCAGCAGACAGCAGCATGCCATTAAAAATTGGCTCGTGTGCCGTATTTGGCACGCGTGCCATAGGTTGCTGACCCCTGATGTAGGTCAAGGGTTCTCAAACTTCATTGCACTGTGACCCCCTTCTGACAACAAAAATTACTACACGACCCTGGGGGGGGGGTGGCAAAGCCTGAGCCTGCCCGAGTCCTGCTGCCCCAGGTTTGGGGGGGCAAAGCCAAACCTCGACCCCCACCAAAGCCCCAGGGCTTCAGCCCCAGGCAGGGGGCTTGTAACTTGAAACATACTGCCCCACGCTGAAGCCAGCCCTCTCAACCCCATTAAAACAGTTTGAGAACTGCTGATGTAGGTAATAGAAGAAACAGGCTAACTTTTCTGATATTTAACATTAATAGATCAAATCTGGATTCTTTACACGATACTGAATACAAGCAGTAATGCCTGTAATAAGTAAAGAACCTGGTGACTCAATATTTAGTTGCTGAAGGAACAACTGTGTTTGCAATACCCACATTTGTAAACAGATTTTGTGCACAAACTGAGTAATTGCATCCTCTGATTGATGCTTATGTTGACTCCCACCTATGTATTCAAGCGGAGTATGAGTAGAAAAAGTGTGGATGTATTTTTAAAGACACACCCAGTTGCTCACGACTGAAAATTTTGACCAAAGACACTGCTGTGCAAATCTCAACTATCTGTACTGATCTTTTACTGGCTATAGCCTCCAAAGGAGCTTTTTAACATGATCTTGTAGAGCGAGACAGTCTTGTTAATGAATAGCAACTGCTAAATGCTGTTAGCGAGCTATACAATAATATGGTTCTCTTGGACACAGTTTGACCTATTACATCAATGTTAAATCCAAAGAGAATTTTTAAAGTATGCCACAGCATTGAAGTCCTTTGAGATACAAAGTTTTTACACAGTGCTGGCTTTATGAAACATATAGTAATGAGTAACCCACCCCAGCAGCTGTAGATATTTCCAGACAGAGACATCTTAAAAAGTAATAAACTTCTGAAATTTTTGTATAAAACACAATATCGCTTATGGAGTTCATTTCCTCGTGGACCAGTGTGTAAAAGTCATATGTAAAAAAAATACCACCTTAAAATGATTGAATAAAATGTCAAGTAATAACTTGCAAAAAAATGCTGAAAGAATAAAATATTTACCTGTTCATAGGCAGTGCATGGTCCACTGGTCTTGCGTCACACCACGGGCTCTTTGGTTGCTCTGCATATAAAAGTGATGACTGGCAATGTAATGTCAAAGGTGAAATATGGCCAGGAGCAGACCACAAAACATTTGGGCTTGATGTCTGCCTTACAGATGCACTTTCTGAATCACTGAAATTGCTAGGAATGTTGTAATTCATCATGGCAGAACTATAGAATGCCATTGCAGAATATTCATGTCTGTTTTCCACATAAGATGAAGGAATATAAACTGGGCTCTGTTCCATTGTCAGAGCAGACTGACTGCAGCTATAAACAGGAGAGCTGATGCCAGGAGATGAGATTTTAATTTCTGTTTTACTACATCCAGTATCCTGAATTGGCAGTAACTGAGAAAACTCCTTGTGAGAAGCAGCACAGACGGACATTCTGAAGCAAGACTGAAGCAGAGTATGTGTTGTTCAAATATTCATCCGAAGATATTTAAGCTAGAAAAATTAAAATATTAAAAGTTGCTTAATTTTCTAAACTAAAGAGAATACAGGTAATAAAACTGCACATCTTGAGGCTTTTTATACAGTGGTAAAGATGCAGTCAAAATTAAAAATAAAAATGACAGTGAAAAATAATTCACACATTGTATTTAAGCTTCAAATTTGCTTTCTAAAATATGTCTAAATTGTGTGTAAATCTTAACACAAGTTTTTGAAGCGTGCTACTCAGAACTTTGATCTCAGAAAATCTACTTGAGCATTTAAATGCTCCAAATTAAAAAAAAATCCCATAAGTCTGCAAGCTTTTATAGTTCTGTGAATTTTCTCCCCTCCATTTGCCCAATACACTTTTTTCTGTGACCTAGATTGGCAACAGAAATGGAAACTGAAACCCTCTATTTACCCACAGTAGACACATTTGACAAAATTCAGTCCAGTAAAAACAACTAAACTGCCCTCCTAAAGATCTTTCCCTGACCTGAGGAATTACCTTGTATTGGCATGCAAAATATGACCTCAAGACCTGAACTTCATCCCAATTTTTACATACAAGTAAGGTCTTAAATATCTAACAAAAATCTCATATCTAGCAATCCAAGATATTAAAATGTTATGTGACAGATATTGCAACTGGATGCAGTATCTTTGGGGACCAGATTTTTTAATTTTATTAATAGTTTATTTGTCATTGTAAGCCAGGGATTGTATGCAATTCTGGGGATGGGAGAAGGGTTACCACAGATCTGCCAGGTATTAAAGACAGTAAGGAGTAATTAAGGCAAATCACACAGGCTATAAATACCTCTAGAGAGATACCACCTTCTGGAGAGGCTTGCATATACTGCTTCAAACTGGGTTTTCAGAAACCAACAAAGAAAACTCCTGGGGGAATTCTACTAGGTCACTTCACATGCACAGAATTCATGGCCCTTGCATATTTTTCTGCGGGTAAGCAAAGAAATTACTTCTGACAGGGAAGCAGCAAAAGTGGTCAGTTGCCCACTGTCTGGCAGTGCAGACTGGTCAGTTTGGGCACCCAGAGCAGCCAGTAGATACGTAAATCACCACCTGAGATGGGTGAGCTTGGTAGTTGTATGTGTGCGCATGTGAGAGAGAGACTGTCCCTCTCACTCGCTATTGCAGCATGCTCGGTGTAAGGGACTGCGGAAGACTTTGTTACGGCCTAGCTAGGGAACTGCTGCTTTCTAGGAGCTGATGGGTCACTGTAGGACATGGAAAACCAGCTATAGCCAGCTGTGGGCCGGTTTTGTCTGCCCTGCATGGCCCTTTGCCAGGTAACAGAAAGCCCCTTTAGGAAAGTAGCTCATGAATATATAAATTAGGTGTTTCTGTGTACTGCTTATTATGGCTCACTGGTTACCCCTTCGTTGGACTCTGTCCCAGGCAGCGCTCCGGTGCGCTGGGTTCTCCGCCTCCGTGACAGCAACGCTTGGAGTCCCCGTTGCAGGTGTGTCACTTACCTTCAATAAAGCCAATAACTCACTGCTTTGCTGCGTGTAGGCCTCGTTCTTTCGGAGCACTCCTGATAGGCCTGTGGCCTAGTACAGAACACTCAGCCTGGAGGTGCAAGGCTTTGGAGTATTTCTGAAGAGGCAGGCGTGTGGCAGACTCTGTTTCCTCAGGCAGAGGAGAATGTAGCAGCCTGCATGCTTAATGTATTGTTCCCATTGTTCTTAGTGAATTCCCCCAGGAGTATAAAACAGGTGTAAAAATGTTAAGGCTCCTTTACATTGCCAGTGTGGGTTAAAGAAGCCTTATTGTAAAGGACAGTATGGCCTTATAAAGGCTTATGGTGCTTTAGTGATTAGAACTGGTCTAAATTTTTGGACTGAAAAAAATTTCCTATCAAAATGTGCTCCATGATCGGTTTGTGACTGACCTTTCTGGAGACGGTCAATAGCCAGTATAAATTGTGAGTTTGAGGCCCCAGCCCTCACTTGCTCTTCAGTTGCTTATGATGAAACACTGAGCATTTGGCTGCATATATTTGTTGACTAATAATTAGAAGTAAAGGGTAAATACTAACTACATTACTATTAGACAGACAGGATGTGGTGATTTCCTCCAATACTCCCATTCTCCATCCATTGTACTGTAGTTTAAATAAATTACCAAAATAATTGAAACTAGCTAGAATATATTGCATTATTTTGACACACAAAAATATGCAGAATTTTAAAATATTGTGTGCAGAATTTTTTTTTTTTTTTTGGGGGGGGGGGGGGGGGAGAGTGCAGAATTCCCCCAGGAGTAAAAGAAAGCTGTTTAAGACAAAAAGCCCTGAGTTCAAAGAGGGTCAGGGAGAAGGCAAGCCTTGTAGAAGAGTTGGAAAAAATTTGGCTTACTAGGGGACCATAAGAATGATGGAACTCTAGTAAAATTTTAGCATGCACATAAAACTTTTTTTTCTTTAAAAAGAAATTCTTATCTGTAATGCATAAATGTATTTTGCTTTGTGAAGGCTGGATGGTAACTGGTCTACAGTGTTGTAACCCCTGGGGAGAAAGATTAACCACAGGTGCTGGATCTCAAAATCAGACCTGTTGGGGAAATCACAGTGAGGTGAAGAGAGACTGCAAGACTAAATTCCTGGTCTGGAGTGGGAGAGACAAGTCTCCACCAAAGAGAGGTGACAGCAAAGAAGCCTGAAACCTTTAAGTGGGTGCCCTTGAGGAAGGCCAGGTGGGGGGAGGGTGGTCAAAGGTGCAGTTAATCCTGAAACTGTGACCCACTAGATCAGGGTTTCCAAAAATTGTGAGTTGCAACCCAGTAGGAACATTGTATTGCAATGTGCATGGATTGTACCAAGGCCAGACAAGTAAGAACTGCTGCCTTGTCACACGACCCCTAAAGACCTATGATTTCACTATTTAATGCACTGTCAAGCTCTTCATGCTAAGAAAATATCTGAAAATCTATACCACGTATATCACGAAGCTATTAATGAGCTTCCCTAAAGGTTGTTCTGTACGTACTCATTTTTTTGCATTGCTCTATTATGACATGGATACGTCAATGAGTTACTATGGTAACTTCACCAGCAACTTGTTTTACATTGAAGTGAGGTGATTCAAGTGTTAAATTGACTCTGAATTTAGAGCAGAAGTGCACATTTCTAGAAGGATTAGCAATATTTCTTTGCCAAACCCTTCAACAGTTCATACTGAGTGTCACGCACAGTCTACCTTGCTACTGCCTCTGAGCAATTATCCTAATGAACTTATGTCTATACTTCAATAAAACACCCACAGCTGGCCCATGTCAGCTGACCTGGGCTCGTAGGCTCAAGCTGCAGGGTTCTAAAACTGCAATGCAGACATACAGGTTCAGGCTAGAGCCCCGGATCTAGGACCCTGCAAGAGGGCAGTTTTTTCAGATTCCATTAAAGAAACTGGAAAGACAAGCTGAAACCTTCAAAGACTCATAATTTATCATTTCAGGGAACTTCAGACTCAGCTGCGGGATTATTTTTTTTTTGGATGATCCACAAAGGGGAAGAGATGGATCACCAGCAATATCACCCAGGGTATTGATTTGGGCCACTGCAAGAGAAACAGACATATCCTATTACAAGAGCCTGCACTTGACTTTCCCTGTCCACAAATTTAGCAGATTTTAGCTGTCTTTGAAAGAGGAAAGTACCCAGCTTTAGTTGCTGAAGCAATGAAACTTCCAAACGCATTTTCACCTTCTCTCTACAAAGCATATTTCTCATCTATGGGTGTAATAAGTCATTTTTGAGTGACAGGTGATGGAAAGAAAAATGAAGTAAAATGAAGTAAGAATGTTTTCACCAATTCCTCCTTTGTCTTTTATCAACAAGATGGAGGAGTATCACATTGAATGGGAAGTGTATTTTAAAAGTTGTCCTTTTTTTAGAATTAAATTTCATTTATTTGAAACTTCATAGTTAGTTATTTCTGATAAGGTTACAGTTACAGAATTTTGTCTGCTCATGGCCAGGATTAGAGCTCTTAAGGGATGGGGCTGCAAATCACCTTAGTCTGGAAAGGGCTCACCAACTCAAATAATTTGGGATGCCATAAACTAAAATAATACTGATTTTCAGACTGTGAGAGAGTGGGGATATGTCTATCAAATTATGACCTCTACGTTCTGCTGTATGTGGGAAAATTACCTCTGTGACTGTACAAGCCTAGATATGCCCAATGGCCGGCATATGTACTGTAGACCTACCCAGGAAAAATGTATGAAACCTCATTGAAGGACTATGTTGCACTGCAGTGCGGAATAGGAGGGTGAACTGCAGAGTGCATCAACATGTTGCGCTCTATGGCCCAAGTAGACGCAGCTGTTCCTAGTTTGTCCTATGTATTTCACATTAATGTAGTTCTGCTTCAGACAGGACTACATTCACATGAGCTAGGTACCTTTTGCTTCATTCCAGCAGCATCCACACTGGGCAGTTAGAGCATAACACTTGATGTGCTCTGCCATCCAAGTAGCTGCCACCCAACTACTAACCTATCCCCTGGCATAAAGGATTTTCTACACAGAGAACCACTGGGGGAAGGCACAAGCATGACTAGGGTAGGGCTGGAGCATCCCAGTGGAGTACATGGCAAGGAGACACAGACTCTACTTAAGAATGGGATGCTGCTCTGTGCAGGGCAGTCAACCATCACCATATGTAAGAAGGACTTGCAGGAGAGAGAGAGAGAGACAGAGACTCTGTCCAGCCTGGAACACTAACAGACATTTGTCCCACCCCTTCAAAAACAGGTGTAGTTGCATCTCTGGACTTTTGTTATTTCCAAAGAACTAACACCTTCATTTTTTTTAAAAGAGTAATGTTACTGTGGTTGATAAATTCCATTGCTGAACCTGTGTTCCTGGTTTTCCCCAAAGGGGTTAAACTGGAAGCCAGAGTGCCCACAGCCTTGGCATAATTCTGTGGGAGTGTGTGTAAGGAGCTGGGGGGAAAAGGGGCTTGGGAGGTCAGAAGAATGGGTTTCAGGAAGCTGGACTGCCAAGCCCCACATCCCACAGAAGACAGTCAGGCCAAAGATCTGAGTGTACCATAGGGGTCCAAAACTAGAAACTAATGACTAGAGATCCTCTATCCAAACTCAGTTGGACATGGGAGCTCGTGGGACCCACTGGCTGGGTCCACTCACAGGTTGTAATGAAAACACCTACGAACTGATCCTGTCTTGGTATAGTTTCCTCAGAGACTGTCTTTCTCACTTTATTTTTTATATATTAGTACTAATCACATTAAAGACGCATGATAAGACACATTCCTTAACTCCTGACCAACCTTTTTCCTCCCCAGAGAAACGGATTGTAAAAATAAATAAATAAATAGTACCAAAAAAAAAAAATCGAGATATTCAACTTGCATGTCAATAGTTTAAATCCAATTTAAATTCAGAGTAGGGCTGTTGATTAGTCGCAGTTTAATCACAATTTTTAAAATCACGATTAATTTTTGAGTTAATCATGTGAGTTATCGCAGTTTTAATCATACTCTTAAACAATAGAACAACAATTGGAATTTATTAAATATTTTTGGATGTTTTTCTATATTTTCAAATATATTGATTTCTATTACAACACAGAATACAAAGTGTACACTGCTCACTTTATTATTTTTTGTTATAAATATTTGCATTGTAAAAATTATAAACAAAAGAAACAGTATTTTTCAAATTCACCACATACAAGTATTGTAGTGCAATCTCTTTAACGTGAACACGCAACTTAAAAATGGAGATTTTTTTTGTTACATAACTGCATTCAAAAACCAAACAATGCAAAACTTTAGAGCCTACAAGTTGACTCAGTCCTACTTCTTGTTCAGCCAATTGCTAAGACAAACAAGTTTGTTTACATTTATGGGAGATACTGCTGCCTGCTTCTTATTTACAATGTAAACAGAAAGTGAGAACAGGCATTCATATGGGACTTTGGTAGCTGGCATTGCAAGGTAACTACATGCCAGATATGCTAAACATTTGTATGCCCCTTCATGCTTCAGCCACCATTCCAGAGGACATGGTTCCATGCTGATGACGCTTGATAAAGAAAAAAAAATTGTGACTGATCTCCTTGAAGGAGAATTGTATGTCTCCAGCTCTATTTTACCCGCATTCCACCATATATGTCATGTTATAATAGTCTTGGATGATAGCTTAAAATGAACAACATGAGATGAGAACACTTTCACCGCAGATTTGACAAAACGCAAAGAAGGTACCAATGTAGGAGTTCTAAAGATAGCTACAGCACTCGACCCAAGGTTTAAAAATCTGAAGTATCTTCCAAAATCTGAGAGGGATGAGGCATGGAGCATACTTTCAGAAGTCTTAAAAGAGCAACACTCCGATGCGCAAACTACAGAACCCAAACCACCAAAAAAGAAAATCAACCTTCTGCTGGTGGCATTTGACTCCGATGATAAAAATGAACATGCATTGGTCTGCACTGCTTTGGACTGTTATCGAGCAGAACGTGTCATCAGCATGGACACGTCCTCTGGAATGGTGTTTGAAGCATCAAGGGACATATGAATCTTTAACGCATCTGGCATCTACATATCTTGCAACACCAGCTACAATAGTGCCATGCGAACACCTGTTCTCACTTTCACATGACATTGTGAACAAGAAGCAGGCAGCATTATCTCCTGAAAATGTAAACAAACTTGTTTGTCTAAGCAATTGATTGAACAAGAAGTAGGACTTGTAGGCTCTAAAGCGTTACATTGTTTTATTTTTAAATGCAGTTATTTTTGTACCTAATTCTACATTTGTAAGTTCAACTTTCATGATAGAGATTGCACTACAGTATTTGTATAAGGCAAATTGAAAAATACTATCTTGTTTTTTACAGTGCAAATATTTGTAATCAAAAATATAAAGTGAGCACTGTACATTTGGTACTCTGTATTATAATGGAAATATATTTGAAAATGTGGAAAAACATCAAAAAATATTTAAATAAATGGTATTATATTAATAACAATGTGATTAATCATGCAATTAATTAAATTGTTTTAATCACTTGACAGCCCCAATTCAGAGTACTGGACTGTACCAGACACACAGAAATTGCGGTTTGGGATTGAATGCTTCTATCCACTGAGGCCAATTTGATTTAGCTAAATACCACACAACTGAAGAAACATTTTTTAAGAAAAGTAAACAAAAAAATATCTGATTCCTTGAGTATTACTTACCATTCATTAATCTAAGACACTGAGTGCAGAATTCACAATTCCATTGACTTCCAAACCAAAGGATGGCATTGGTATCTGAGACTATGCAGAAATATTGTCCAAGTTTTTAATGTTGTCCCCACAACAAAATAGGTTTCTGGTCCTTAAATAGCTCTATATTTTCAACCATCTGTATCTTGGATATTCACTGTTCAATATACTGCAGAGCAAGCAGAGAATTGATTCAAATGTCATGGTCAAATATGTACACAAGTAAATAATTAAAAACTAAAATATATGCACCTACATGCAACTGAAAATTGCTGCTTATTGCAAATTACCTGTCAAGAGTTTTTAAAAAATGTTTTGTACTAGGCAGCTAATTTAAACAGTCAATTTTTGCAATTTTGGAATTAGAGTGAAAATACATGTTTTCTTTACTACCTGGAGCCTGAAACAGAAACAATGACTATACAACTTTTCCTAGAATATGCAACAACTTTGTAACCAAACAATGGAGTGACAGATATCCTGATATGTCAGCCATCAAGGTTAAGTCACAAGATGCTCATTATTTTCTTGACAAGTCAGACACTTTGAATGAAGAATGTGTCAGCCACATAGGACTAAGATGACCTTCCCCCCCCCCCACCTCAAATTTAACTCCCTTCTACCTATAGTAAGAGAGTCACTTTTTTCCCTTGCTGAGCCAGTAAATGTACATTCCACTATCACACAGTTTAAGACTTTTAAAAAATTATCTTGCAATAAATCCTAGATGTATTATTTTGCTGAATTAAAATGTGATGTATCATGCAGTGATGATAAGCTAAACAATCCTCCGAAAAGGTGATCATCAGTAGAGGAACATCAGACCTATCCTTTTTGGGTAACAAATCTAAAAGTATTCTCCCACATTGACATGTCAACAGAAGAGGTTTTAGAACAAATTGATAATTATATAGTCGTATGTCACCAGAACCAGATAGTAATTCACCCAAGAGTTCTGAAGGAACTCAAATATGAAATTGCAGAACTACTAACTGTGGTAAAGTAACCCATTGCTGAAACAAGCCTCTGTACTAAATGACTAGAAAGTAGTAATGTAATGCCAATGTTTTAAGAAGGACTCCAGAGGTGATCCTGGCAATTACAGGCTGGTGAGCCTAACCCAGTAATGGGCAAACTGGTAGAAACCAGAGTCAAGACTAGAACACGGTAGGAATAAATTTTCAGTTTCCACAATGGAGATGGGTACTCCCAAGGATCAGCACTTGGACTTGTACTGTTCAACGTATTCATTAATGATTTGGAAAAGGGAGTGAACAGTGAAGTGGCAAAAGTTTGTAGATGATACAAAATTGCTCAAGATGATTACGTTCAAAGCTGACTGAGAAGAGTTATAAAGGTATCTCACAAAACTGGGTGACTGGGCAACAAAATGGTAGATGAAATTCAACCCTGATAAATACAAAGTAATGCAAGTTGGAAAAAATAATCCCAGCTACACATATAAAATGACTGGTTCTAATTTAGCTATTGCCACTCCAGAGAGAGATCTTGGCATCACTGATCTGAAGTTTTCAGAGAACTAGCCACAATGTGCAGCAGTGGTCACAAAGGCTATCAGGAAAGGGATAGAAAATAAAACAGCAAATATCATAATGCCCCCTATATAAACCTATGGTGCGGCCACACCTTGAATACTGTGTCCAGTTCTGATTTCCCCATCTCAAAAAGTATACAGTGGAACTGGAAAAGGTTCAGAGAAGGGCAGCAAAGATGATCAAGGATATGGAACGGCTTCCATACAAGGAGACTACAAAAATTAGGACTGTACATCTTAGAAAAGAGAAGATTAATGGGGGATATGATAGAGGTCTATAAAATCATGACTTATGGGGAGTGTTAATTATCCTTTCCCACGATACAAAAACCCTGGGTCACCTGATGAAATTAATAGGCAACAGGTTTAATACAAACAAGACAAAATACTTTTTCACACAATGCACAATTAACTTGTGGAATTCATTGGCATGAGATATTGTGAAGGCCAAGAGTATACCTGGGCTCAAAAAAGAACTAGATAAGTTCATGGAAGATAGGTCCATCAATGGGTACACGTCAAGATGGTCAGGGATGCAACCCCATTGCCAGGGCAACCCTAAATCTTGGACTACCAGAAGCCAGGATGGGAAGACAGGGTGGATGCCTTGCTGTGTACACTCCCCACCACTCTATTGATCTGACACAGTACGGCAGTTCTCACGTTCTTATGAGAGTCACTCTTTATGCATAGTATGGGACCGCTACTTACTGGTCGTTTTATAACACAAATAACTTGTTAAGAAAGCAACATTACATGCCTCATTCTCCTGGCACTCCCTAAATGCATAGGTTTGTTACACCTAAACTTCCTTGGGTATCTAATGAAAAAAACTAATTTTCAAGGAAAATTTTTTCAGAAAGTGAAAAGCAAGAATGAAGATAACCTTTTCAGACTTCAGATCCAATCCTGTAAGAGGCTGAGCACCCTAATATCTGAAAGTGTCAGGACCATAATGAAGAAAATATTTAGCCAAATGGAAAAGCTAGTTTGCAATTTGCTATAAGGGAATAAAAGTATTTCGACATAAAACATCTGGCCTTGGAGTTACAGGGGGCACTGGCAACTTCAGGGAGATCCCTACAAGATGATAACAGTATGTTAACTTCCAGTGGATGAACAGTTATAGCAATACCAACTTCACTCCCTGCTGGGAGCAGCTAAAGCAAGACTGATAGTAGGTAGCCACAAACTGGCACAGGGGCTGGATTTTGTTGATTATATCATTTCCTTTGTTTAGCCATATAAAAATATAAAGTTGTATAGTATTAGTATAGTTGTAGGCTATACAATATTTGTAACATGAGAAAAACAGATCAGGAACAGAGAATCATTCCCCATGTACAAAGCTATCTAGTAAATCAAGTGTACAAAATTGTATTCACATAAAACCAACATAAGCAATGTTGTTAGTGACACTAGACAGACATTATTAAAGTGCTGTAGAGGAAAAATATATTTCAACACATGAAAAAAAAAACAAGGTCCCAGGAAGGGAAAAGATGTGGCACTGTAGCCCCTGCTGTCCTCTCTCTCAAAGTTTAAGACCACCAGAGCCAGGGCGACCAGGCAAGACTGGAGAGATATTCCCCTGTCCTCAGCTTCTCACCAGGTGCCATCAGTAAGTAGAGAGTTTAAGAACTAGTTCAAAACCTATTGAAGCCAGTGGAAAGATCCTTCATTGACTTCAATGGACAATGAACCAGGCCCTAAACACAGGTGAAAGCCTACCTACTTTGGTGACAGTCTATAAATAACTTAACTGGCTAGATACCACGGGACTCATCCTCAGCTAGCATAAATTTGTGTAATTCTATTAACTTCAATAAAGATATGCCAATTTATAGCAGCTCAGGATCTGGCCCAATAGCTCCAAAACGTCCTAAGATTAAATTCTGGCCCCACTTAAGTCAATGGGAATTTTGCCATTAACTTCAATGGGCCCAGAATTGCTCCCCTTCATGGCTAATTAGACATGGGATACTCAGACATCAGGAGTATACAGAAACTTTTGGTCATGGGCTTGGATCATATTGACCTTAAACCCAGGAATCATTCTTCCGTTACCTCTGTTTCATGCTCCTCCAGGAATCCTAGTAAAAAATTTCTTTTAATTTTAGAAAAAAAACTTTACCCTTTCAAACGAACATTTTTCCAATTTAAGTTCGGAATGGTGTGTGTATGCTCAGATTCTATCCGCAGAGGTACTACCTTAGAGATCTTTGGATGTCTATCAACATTCAGACTCAGATTAACTGTAGCTGCTTGAGGCATTTTAAAAGTTAGTTAATTTAAAACATGCCCTTATGATCTTACAGTAGATCCTTATGATCCTTCCCTAGTTACAGATGAACAGGCTTCTATGCTAGATTTATATTTCCTTGTTTCAGGATGGTGAATTAAGAACAGCACTGTACCTCTTTCGCTCTCCATACCATCAAGGAAATGCCCTCCTCCTTAAAAAAAACAAACAAACACACACACACACACACACCACCCCCAGACACTTTGAGAAGGGTTTGTATTATTTTCAGTCTTCACTGCTACAAATAAAAACAACAAACCATTTCAGATTATCTTGTGAATAATCTTAAAACATTTCTACTAATTTTACTACTGTACTTATTTTATTAAGCAATTAACACCTAGAGCCTTGGCCTCTTAAAAGATATTCAACATTGTTATATTAGAATAGTTCAAAGCTTCTGTCTGTGCAAGACAAAAATATTAAAGGCAAGATGCCCTGTTCCATCACCACCAATCTTTCTGCAATACTGCTGCACCTTTTTGAAGCTGTGCACCAACCTCATGCCTTTTCATGTGACTGCCAAGCTTCTGAAGGTGCACCGTCTTTCTGGAAGGAAGCATACCCGGTGTGTGTAAATTACATACTAGAAGCACACAACTCACTTTAGGTTTTTATGTAAAATGTCCGCAAAACGGGGCTTTTAAATACAAAGGGTTGCCTTAGCCCTAATGACAAAAAGCAAACAATATCTAAGTGTTGCAATAAAAATATAAAACATTTACATTTCATGTCAATTGGAAAAGTGTGTGTAGTTTTATTTCGTATTTAGAATCATAGAATCATAGAATATCAGGGTTGGAAGGGACCTCAGGAGGTCATCTAGTCCAACCCCCTGCTCAAAGCAGGACCAATCCCCAATTTTTGCCCCAGATCCCTAAATGGCCCCCTCAAGGATTGAACTCACAACCCTGGGTTTAGCAGGCCAATGCTCAAACCACTGAGCTATCCCTCCTCAAATGTAATGTAATTTATTTCAATGTACTAGTCTATTGCAAATACTGTAACACTTCCATAGCAAAATATATACAACTGAAGCACTAAAAATTTCAAGACTTAATAAACTTTGCCAAAATTTTCTTTCAATTTCACCCAAATTACTTTTAAAGTAAAGCTATGTAATGATATTTTCTAAAAAAAGACTTGTAACTTGAAATATGCCCATTTTGCAAATACCTTGATTTATCTATATCACTGTTCAAAGCAAGACAAAAAAAATACCATGTTAATACTTACTTTTGAAACCTTGTATCATCTTTTTCCAAACCATTTAGTCACATGAAAATCCAAGTATTGCTTCTGTTTGACTATACAAATAAGAAATTACTAAGCAACTATGTTTTATATGTATGTAATACATAGTACCATATATAATTTTAAATTGAATATAGTGTCTAATATTACCCATACTTAACAGATTGAATAAAAACTTGGCAGACTTTCAAAGTTATTGGACAGCCATGTGCAGTACCAAATCTACAGCACTAACAAACCCTACTAGGAAAACAAATCTAACAAAATAATGGGTAAAATCCTGACCAGATTGAAGTCAGTGGGAATTGTGTCATTGATTCAATGGGATTTCACCCCATAGATTAGCCCAGTTTGCTTAGAAGTTAAATTACAGAGTAGAACAACGGTTCAGTCTTAACACAACATGATCTAAAGAGTTACTTTGGGATTTCTGTTTTTTGGGCCTGATGATTGCTCTCTCTGGAGGAACGGATCAGCAGATTTTTCTCTGTGGACACTTCCTGCTGATAACAGAAGCGTGCTGCTGACACAGATGTGTAATATGGAAGAGGAACATTGGGAAACTGAGGTAATGTAAAAACTTTGCATGCTTGTGGATCATCATCCCTCTCTGTGGTAAGCCCCTCTTACTTGTACATACTTAGGAAGGGAGAATAAGGGTACTCCAAAGCCAGAATTAAAAACAAAACAGAGCTGAAATTTAAATGCACATGGTGTAAAGGTGAACATTATTTCTTTTAAACCATCCACAGTAAAATTGCTTTTCAATAGTTTAAATGTATATTTTCACACACCATTAACATATTATAAGAATATTAATCACTAAAAATGTGCATACAGAAACTCACATTTGTAGATGGGAATAATGCCACCCAGACAAGTGAAAATTTTTAGGGTTGTTCTGCTGAAGACTTCAGTTATTTCCCCTCTGCAAAACTGAAAACCAATGTTCATCTTCAAAATTATGAAATTACTGGTGAACAAATGAATTACGACACTCATGGCAATTTTAAATCCATCTTCTCCATAACTGCTTGGAATTTCAAGCATTAACATTGATCTTGAAATTCAAACTGGTTAAGAGAGATTGCTTGTTAGCAGTAGCTGCCACCTGAATGTCTCCTCTTGGCCAGGGTGGTTTCGCAGTGCCCTACCTCTAGCCTCCCCACTCTTATGGGCCCCTTAAGCACTGCAGAGTCTTTGTTGTGGAGTACAGCACCCCTTTCTGGGGATAGTTTAATACTAAATGCAGTCAGAGTCCTTAATCACAAAATAATCAAACATGAAGTCCACAATAATAAACTCTACCTGAAGCCACCAGCCCTTTCATCCTACTTCCTTACTCAAATGAACACACCCCTACAGCTTCCTGCTGCCTTTTATATTAAATCACCTGATTCCCATCAGGTGAGGCTCCTCTTGTAATCAGGTCTGGCTTAGCCCCCAGGCTCTCCAGCCCAGGGCAAGCCACCCTGTTTCTACAACAAATTGTAAACAAGAGTCAGGGATTTTTAAATCCCATACCGATTACCAATTTTTTATTTCTCCTTTGAAGATCTCTAAGGAAGTTTTTAAGTGTCCAAGTACATGTAGTGTTACTAGAGCTTCAATGATGCTGACAATACAGTCATCAAGAACTGATTCATGCCATATTTTAAAAATTAAAGGAAAAAGTAATCTTGCATAAACAGAGTAACTATAAATTAAATTTTTTCTTCAAATTGGGAAAGGGATAGAAAAGATGAGATTACATGCCAAGGTAATATATATAAATAATATAGGTGAAATGCAGTTGAGAAGAACTTTTGTGAAAGCCCCTAAAGCAGTGACTAAATATTGTGGGTTTTAAATCTGTGTATCGGACATTCAGAAATGTATTTGTTGGTCCAGTAAAAAATACCACACTTCTACATTATCCATTTTTTCCTGAGGAACTATATGGTTACAATCTCAGTGATCTGGAGAGGGAGAAGAATGATAAGTCTACTCAACAATTCCGAATCTGATTCCGTATAATTTCACATTCAAATACAACTTACTTCTAAGTGTATTCACAACCATGCTTAATGCTTTCCTTAATAACATGAACAACTATTTGCTCTTTAGGCTACTGTCTAGTATTTATGCAACTTTTTTCCCAAGCCTCAATACGGTCTCTACAAGACTTTTAAAAGTCCAAAGTTAAATTATTGTAAAGTTGCTTTATCCGCCTCCCACAAACTTGGGATTTTATTAAATGTGTCTGGGAATGAGAGACCTGATGATTCCATTGCCTTTTTTTTTCTTTTTTAAAAGCAGAACCATTATTTGATTTGAATGAGGCCCTATTTAAGAATGATGGCTTGATATAGCCCTATGATAATATACTCTCCTAGCTTTAGTATATTTCCTATTACAATTCCAACACCTTATATTTTCAAAAGCATCCTTAATAAATAAATTTCCCTCATCTAATTAGGAAATATTTTCAAACTACAAAATTCTCTCTTTATATTACAAAAATAAATTAGATATCTGATGGTGAAATCTTAATCATATTAAAGTATGAGGTAATCAGGTATATAAACACAGCTTTGTAGGAACAAAGCTTGAAAATAAGATTCAATACATCTTCTGGAATTTGAATTCCACACAATTCAGTAAGGGCCTGATCCAAAGCCAATTGAAATTTGTTTCTCAAATCAGAAATGTCTATTTTCCCACAATTTGTGTGAAAACATTCACCTTAGTTTCACTGCAGTAGTGCCATTGTAAAAAACTTTTGTTTAAAAAAAAAAAACGTAAGTATTCTGTATAGCAAAATATTGCAAATGTTCCATGAAATCCTCAAAGAATTTCTGAAGAGATAATGCATTAAAGGATCATTTATCTGCACAAACTGATCATATTTTTAAGAGCATAATCTTGTAATGGAATTAAACATGTTAAAACAAACTCAAAAGGAAATATCACAGAATAAAAATTTCAAGATATTTTACTGTTCACAGACCTAGTGCTTATCACAGAGCTTTTACAACATTTTTTAAAAAATACACATTTGAGCTAATTCAGCACATACCTGATATACACTTTTAAGGAGTAGAAAACCAGTTGTGCATCAGACAGCATTAAATGTAACTAGGGTTTTCATACAGCATTTCTGGATTTGTTTTCCTTCCTTATTTAAGAGACTCTTTAGCAGCAATGCCCACCACCACTTGTCTTAGACCACAGAGCAGAGGACTCAAATACCAATCCTTACAAAGCATATGATGCCAGCTCATCAGTACAAGATAACACAGATACTCTCAATGTTTCCTTTCCCAGTGAAGGCAAGGCTTCATAATAAGTTCCTCCTCCTCCCTTCTGACATGACAAATTCAAAGGCTTGCTGTTCACTGCAATTAGAGCTCCCAGATTGCATAAACCAAATATTCTCATATATACCAATGGAATTTGAATTATCAATATATCCAGAAGCATAAATCTTGACACTGATGTACAAATTAAACTTTAAAAGCTAACATTAGCTTTAAAAAAAATGGAAACAAGCCCAACATAACTAATCTTTAGTTTGAACTTGCTCTTTTAATCACCTCACACCTTTCTGGTAATCCATATACAGTACCTGACAAACCTCATTAGACAATATTGCAGTATGTGCTTTTAATCTTTAAAGGAAAATAAAGAACCTGGACTTATTTTAGCAAAGTCCAGTTACAGGTCTTTTCAAACAGCAAACTTTGCTGATGGAAATTAAGCCAGAAGCCCCATAGTAGATGAGTTCTTAATATTATGAAACTATTTAGCACTTTTCATTTTTAGAGCACTTTATGAACATTAAAACAAGGGTCAGATTCCTATGTACAAAATATTTATACGGTTCTGGCAGCATGAAGGGGCCTGCAAGTAAAATGATGTAAAGCAGCCTTTGGGCCAGATTTTCAGAGGTATTCAGGCACCTAAAGATGCAGATAGGCACCTACTGGGATTGTCAAACACATCTCTACCGGTTAGGTGCCTGCCACCTAACCTGATTAGGTGCCTATCTACACCTTTAGGTGTACCTACCTTTGAAAATAAGGTCCTTACTGTAAATGAGAATCAGGCCCTCACTCTTCACAACATGTCTTTGGTTTTCAAAGGACATCAGTAATAATACTGTTAGTATTAACACAAATGGAAAGTATTCCAGACAGGAAAGTCTTTCCTGGCTCACATATTCTTTGAATAAGAGTGAAAGGCTACATTCACCCAAAATGACACAGGGAACAGCAGCATTTCCATTCGTGTTTCTGTTTGTAATAGAGCCTCAGAGCCCAAGTCACAGACCAGGACCCCATTTTGTTAGGCACTGTACAAACACAGAACAAAAAGACAATTGCTGCTTCAGAACTTACAATTTGAATATAAAACAAGAGCAAACAGATTAAGACAGACACAAAGGGGAGTACAAGGGAACGATACAAAACAGTGAGGAGGTCTTTAGGGGCCTCATAAGAACCCCGCCAGCAGATGCTACTTAGTTGATGTGCTGAATCCCCTGTCTTTCCTCGTCAGTTTTTTAGTCGTGCTAACCACTGAGAGATCCTTCAAATTATTTTTAGCTGAAATTCAGGTGAATGTAGGTGAATTTGGAATAGTGGTATAATAATGAACTAAAACATTTCTAAACTTAATGTCCATTTTTCCCATCTGCTGTAAATTACAAAAATACTTCTGGGAAGGCTAAGTAGGACTATAAATCCTTCTGCCAACTATGGCACAGAAAACTGTTCATAGAATCATAGAATATAAGGGTTGGAAGGGACCCCAGAAGGTCATCTAGTCCAACCCCCTGCTCGAAGCAGGACCAATTCCCAGTTAAATCATCCCAGCCAGGGCTTTGTCAAGCCTGACCTTAAAAACCTCTAAGGAAGGAGATTCTACCACCTCCCTAGGTAACGCATTCCAGTGTTTCACCACCCTCTTAGTGAAAAAGTTTTTCCTAATATCCAATCTAAACCTCCCCCACTGCAACTTGAGACCATTACTCCTCGTTCTGTCATCTGCTACCATTGAGAACAGTCTAGTGTTGTCACTGTAAGTCTTATTTTACAACTGTTCTGTTGCACATCTTTATATGTGACTCTTGGCAGCTCAGCATTAAGACCATTCCTGCTGGGGAGACTGACATATTGACTCATACTTGGGTTCTCACAAATCCTGTTACTTTACAGTCCCATTTCATGGATCCAGCTTTACCCTCATTCCACACAATCGTGCTGTAGCCTCTGGGCCAAATTAGGGAAGTTCCCCCATTGCGGACAGCAGGTGTTCACATATGCAGCTGAAATGGTGCTGAAAACGGTTTGACAGCAAGTGCAGACAAGGTCCAAACCCAGGCAAACAATTAGCCCTGCTCTGAGCAGTTTTTCGTGCTACTGAGATTTCTCTCACAGCACTGTGGTGGCCTGCTTGCTTATATACTGTTCCTCCAGGGTCACCGCACCACCCTCGGCTGATGTGCAGCTCCAAACACAGCCCCCACAAAAGGCAGTATAAGGTCTGAGCCCTGGACCCCTCCCTGCTTTCTGAAGAGGGCACATAATCCCCACCCCGTTTTCCAACGGGCTGAGGGGGCCCCTCACCGGCTTTCCTGCCCCCCCAAGCTTTCCGAGGGACTGAGGGGGCCCTGGGCTTTCCGAGAGTCTGAAGGGGGGGCACTCATCGACTCCCCCCCCCGCGGCTCTCCGAGGAGCTATGGGGGGCTCACCGGCTTCCCCCCACTGGGCTCTCCCAGGGGCTAAGGGAGCCCCAGGCTTTCTGGGGGGGGCTCACCGGCTTCCCCCTGGCTTTCTGGGGGGCTAAGGGAGGGGGCCCTCACTGGCTTCCCTCCCCAGGGCGGGCGCAGAGTCTGCTGGTGCTAAGGAGCGTCTATTGCCCCCCAGCGGTGTCTGAGGAGCGGCTCAGGCTCGGGCTCGGGCCACCCAATTTCCCGCCCCGGAGCGGAGGCTCGACTCAGCGCTACCTTCCCTTTCTCCTGGCAGGCTCCCCGGAGAGGGGCGGAGAGAGGGAGCGAGAGGATGACCGCCACCGCTACCACCTCCCTCCCCCACGGCGCGCGCCTCATTTGCTCCTGGCAGGCCCCTCGGTCGCTTGCCCCCTAATCAGTATGACGAGATGATTCAAATCCCAACCCCAGGTGTTGGAGGCAGTGCTCTAAGCTGATTGGCAGCAAGGAGAAAGCGGATTGTCCAATGAGAGACAGAGTCACATTTAGGGGCGGGGCTATGGGTACCACAGTGCTACCCTTGAGGAAGAGGTTGATTTGCTCGGGCGCCGGGCGCCATTAGGAAGCGGTTGTGGCGCGCTGTTTTCCCCTCAGGGCCGGTTTCGCCGCGCTTGTCCTGCCCTTAGCAGCCCTTGCGCCACTGGGGGACCCTGTACAGAGGCTCCATCGGGTACCCCGCCAGCAGCACAGACCCTGCTGCCAGAGCCCCCTGGCGGTACAGCAGCGCTTCCCTTCCGCAGCAGCCAGCCTCGGAAGCATGGCTGAGGCGTAGTTGTCTTTGCGCCCACTGCTAGGCTCGGACACAGCCCCTCACGGACTGAGATCAGGTCTGGTGTGGTGATGAGCCTCCTCCAGCTCTCCCTGAAGCTGCCTACCTCTCTCTGGGGCAGCCTGGGGTTAGCCGCGGGCGTGAGTCTGGCCCCTGAGGGGCGGCTAATAGATTGCTGCAAAAGAAAATGCTGTAATGAAACCATGTCTCCATATTTGACAATGAGCACCTGGCAGGAAATGGTGTAACGTGTGCATTTCTGTAGGAGCCTTTTACAAAAATAAAAGGAGTACTTATGGCACCTTAGAGACTAACCAATTTATTTGAGCATGAGCTTTCGTGAGCTACAGCTCACGAAAGCTCATGCTCAAATAAATTGGTTAGTCTCTAAGGTGCCACAAGTACTCCTTTTCTTTTTGCGAATACAGACTAACACGGCTGTTCCTCTGAAACCTGTCATTTTACAAAAATATAAATCTAAGGGGGCAACACAAATCCTAAACAACTATTAAGAGCCGCATTAAAATGCATCTCTGTAAACTGCATTTTAAAAGATCAGCATTTGTGATCTCAGCTGGGAGCCAAACCTATAATTCTGGGGATAATAACTAAAAACCTTGAATCCAGATGACTTCAGTTTGCATTAAGGACTTAGTGTACCAGATAACTGGCTGGAATAAAGGCACACCAGGTAAGCAACCAGAAACATTACATGAGGTCAGAGGTCAGGCCTGTATTATAAAGATTTTTTAAAATATAAATTAGAAGAATGTCTTGAAGTGAATATATTTTACTTGTAGTTATTAAGAAGATTTAAAATAGAAGTTATATATGTATGGAAAGGCATAATTAGAATCTGAGCTACAGCATTTACAGCTCCTGAACTCAACAGTTACCAGCTCTCCAGGAATGTTGAGAAAATGAGATGAAAATAAATTGAGATGAGATGTAACACAGGAGCCTATGTTCCCCTTGTGCACAAAGTACACGAAGGGGAGTATATTATAAATTAATGTCAATAAAGCCACAATGCAAGCAAGTCCCAGAACCATTCACAACAGTGTAACTGCTTGGGGTGCAGATGCACTGACCTGACATTATGTCCTCAGTTAAAAAAAGGGACTCCTATCTAATGCTTCTCAGTTCCTCACCAACTCTTCTAAACAATTACAGTAAAAGAAACTCAAAAGAAGGGAGGAAGAAGGGGTCAGTGTGGATCCACAGAAGCAATATATTTTGTACTTTTCCTTTCTCCATTATGAAATTGCCTCTGCATTTCTTCACTTATGGCCATCACCTATCAGTAGACAACTGCAGGGAGTCGTCCCACTTAAACATATTGAATCCTTGCTCTCCCAAAATAGATATCAAGACCAAGTCTAGGAGATGACAATAATGCGTCACAAAATAATTAATTGAATTCCGGTGTTGTTTTACAAATATAGGAAACAGATATATTAGGAAGGATACACAGAGATTCTGTCCTTCACTATAGGTGAATGGATGTAACTGAGGGCTTAAACTGAAGACAAAGGGTGACATGCATGAGATGGAAAGAATATGAGACCCAAAGGAGAGATGCAGGGTTGGCGGATAAATAAAAGATTTTCTTTAAACTGGGTATGTTTAACCTGGAAATTGTCAGCTAATAAACAGGCAACCCCACAATGCCATTTTTAAAAAGTCACTTTTCAGCTGAGAGCCACACTAAGAAAAACCACTTGCTGAACATGTATGTTTGTTTTTCCTGCTAAGTTTTTCCACCGTCTTACACTGGCTGTTACAGGGATAGCTCAGTGGTTTGAGCATTGGCCTGCTAAATCCAGGATTGTGAGTTCAATCCTTGAGGGGGCCATTTAGGGATCTGGGGCAAAAATTGGGGATTGGTCCTGCTTTGACCAGGGGGTTGGACTAGATGACCTCCTGAGGGCCCTTCCAAACCTGATATTCTATGATTCTATAAAATTTCTCTCTCATTTGCACACTCCAGGACATCCCACCTCTACCTAGTTACTAGGGCTCAAGGCTTCCACCTCTACATACTTCCTAGGGCTCAATGTGTAACCCAGTTAATTTGGGCACCCCCACCCTTTCCCAGTTCCTAGGGCTCCAGGTAAAAGGCACCTAACTTTCTCTCTCTGTGGGCACCGGGCTCTGTTCCTCCAGGCTCTGGGCTCTACTCCTCTGTGCAAATGCATATTCCCTGTGGACTCAGGGCTTAATCTTTTGTGGGTTTGCGGGGTCTTTTACCAGTCAAAGAGCCTTACTCAGTATCCTACCTTAATATCCTACTTAATCTCCATCTATTAACAATCACCAAAACAGAATGCACACAATAAACATAGAATGCTCACCATTCCCAATAAGACAGATGAACTTTTCTTGATGGCTAGTCAGGATCAGGTCACCGGGGGACTTCAGCTTCTGCACGGTGTCTTTGGCAGGTTGTTGAGGTCTGGCAGCTCTAATCTTGGAGCAGTGTCCTGGAGTTGGTTCCCAAATAACTTCCTTTTGGACCCCATTTTATATAGTGAAACTTGAGTCTTGCTTAGCTATACCTTAACCCAGGGATCGGCAACCTTTGGCCTGCGGCCCGCCAGGGAGCTTACCCTGGCAGACCAGGCCAGTTTGTTTACCTGCTGCATCCACAGATTCGGCCGATTGCAGCTCCCACTGGCCACAGTTCGCCGTTCCAGGCCAATGGGAGCTGCGGGAAGCGGCGGCCAGCACATCCCTCAGCCCGCGCCAAAAATCCCTTGAAAATATACTGGAGGTGGAACCACCAATTCAGTATTTTACTGAGTCTGGATTATACAGTGTCACACTGAGGCTGTGAAGTCCAGGGTGGGCCTGAGAATTTAGGTAAATTGAAGAGGCCTCATACCTAAGTTGCAAAAACATTATGACAGTATACTTGAGCCAGAGCTGACAGCTGATTCCTTACTTCATGGACTATTTTCTGCAACTCCAAAATATGGTGCTGAAGTAGAAAGGTAAGTCCCATCCAGGAATCGAGGGGAGTCCCAATAAAAGTTAAATCCTGACTAGGTGGGAAAACAAATATAATTTCATTTATGCTTGTTGTTAGATGTTTGGCTGCGTGCTGTCCCAGCTCTACGCAGATAGTTGGCACAGCAGACTTTGATTGAACTACCCAATAACCAAAGACTTGGTTCATCGGGAAGGCACTTGGTCAGGTTTATTGTCAACGAAGCACAGTCCTAATGCCCTGGCTCAATGGTTAAAGGTACATTAAAACATGTATGCCCATTGCAATGGACTAGCTCAGTTAATGGCGGGACTTTTCATTATCCCCTAGGCCAACCAAAGACA